AAAAAAAAAAAAAAGAAAATTCTTTTGTGTCGCCATATTGTCAACAGTGGACTCTCTTTTCATCTTTTCAAAGAGATTCCATTGCTGTAGAAAAATACAGATGGTTCATATGGATAGTTGTGATAGTCTGCTGAAATAGAGGGAAGAAAAATTATATTAAACATATGAAAATGTTTGTTGAAAAGTCTCTGAGACCACTTTATTATGACTTTTATTTAAACAAATTGCTCAGAGGAAAGTCTTAAGTGGAGAGAGTATGGAATGTTCAGGGTGTGACCTCCTATCTCTTACTTTTCCCCATTTGTGCTCTTTGCAAATAGAAACCTAGTTATTCTTCACTGTGTGTGTCATTCATATGCCTTTGCCATTTCTCCTGCTGGGATGTCATCCTTTGCTCTGGAGTTTGCGTTAACTATGTCATCTAGGACCTATTCTTTCCGTAATACTTCAAGGGCTAACACAACCTCTAACTTCTTTAGTGTTTCCCCAAGTGTCTTAGTCAAGATGGACTTTTCTGAATGCTCAGTGTTTACTACCTGTGTTATTCCTACCTCTCACTTGACATACACAGTTCCTTCTAGCTATCCCCATAGCATGCTAAACCTCTCCTTCATTCCTAGGATCGTGACTGATGAATCTAAACATGTGTATGCTTACTAAGTTGATACTGTGTGATTATCATTTTGGGAAGATAGTAATTTGCAATGACTTTAACCACCTATACAATCACCCCATTACATACAACACAATTTACTAGACCCTCGTTTAGGTATACGTTGGTGAAAGCTGATTGTGTTTTGTCTACTTGCAAAATATTTTGTCAGTTTAGTTGTTTATAATGTTTGTAATTTTGACTTGTGTGGTAAAATATATGTATGTGTATTTTATATAAATATATTTGTATATGAATACATATTTAATGTAAATACATATTTATATATACATATATATATGTTTTATGTAAATACGTATTTAATTACATTTAATTATATATATAATTTCCTGATCCAATATGTAAAAGATATTGTTGGGACTCATTTGTATATTATATAAAATGAAGTAAGTTGACTCAAATAATATGGATGCAGACATATGTGTCATTCAGCAAGACTTGGTAACAAAGTGAAATGTGTATTAGCTTTCTTTAGTATATTGATAAGTGATGTTAAAACACAATCTTTGGTTGGGTCTTTTGAGAGAAAAAACATTAGAGTAGTCTATATTTACATTGCTAAGCATTTACCAAAACAAAAATACTGTAGCTGTGCCAGGGTATATTGTCATGTACCCTTAAAGGAACAATATTCTGAACTCAAATATGTTCAAATAGTTATGGCAGATCATATTGTGACCAGGTTACTAACTCATATATCTTCCACTTTTCATTTTGTTAGCTATACTCAGCGTGTGGTTGGAAATGGAATCAAAGCCCAATCTGGAAATCCCGAAGTCAAAGTCAGAGGAACTGATCCTGTGATAAATCAAATTATTGATAAACTAAAGCACGTTATTCAGGTAAGTGACTGAAACTCTATTTATTGGTAGAATCAATGGTAAATAATAAGTGGCCACTTTCCATTAAATGTGATAAATCTGTTAATCCTAATAGTCCTATTTAAGAGTGAGTATTGGAATAAATTATTTGTATCTAGAGTTTTAGAAATATTCGAGCGATTTTCATAAAGAATCAATGTAGAGTAGTATTTCAATGGAGGGCAGTCTGTATCTGTGAAAAGGAGACATAGCCTCAGCATTTTAATATGTGATGAAAATCTCAGGATAACCTTCATCCCAGTGAATAAGCTTTAGACATGGAGTCTACTGTGACAATTAGAGGAAACAAAGAACAAGTAAGTCATTTGCAGGCAACTCTCTGAGACTTGCTGTGAAGATTTTTGTTCCATTTTCTATAAAAGTTATCGTAAATGAATAATATGCATTTTTTGTATTTATTTTCTGTATCACGTTTTACATGTTACCTTATAATCTACTTATAATCTATAATCTGGTGGTTTATGAAATACTTCTGTTTTATCTTTAATAATATGTCATCAAGTGAGTATATACTGCTGTTTTTAACATATATGAAGCATGAGAATTTCTATCAAAAGAACACTTCACTGAACTAATCTTTTAGTTAGAATCAAATATTATGTTACATGCTGTGAAGGCCACCCTCCATTCTTCATTTGTTGGAGTTTGGGGTAAGAAGGACTATTTTCTAGTTATTAGTCTTTTTATAACAATCTATACATATATTTTCATTTTTCCTAAGTAGAACCTTGGATGGATAGTTGATTCTTATTTCTAATAACTAACATAACAAACTTAAAGTACTGACTCTATTAATATTCAAATATTCTAGAGTCACTGGTATGCTTTTCATAGTTGCTCTGCAAAACCTAAGTTTATGTAGGGTCTGTTCTTAGGATTGCATTTTTATCAAAGTCTGTGTCTTCATCAAAGGAAATTCAAGGAGGATATCAGGGTCTGTGTCCAACATTTATCCCGTCCAGGAGGCAATAATGGTATTTTGCTTACTCTATGACTGGTGCTTTGGGGAAACAGAGCTCTCAGCCTGGATGGCAGAACTGAAAGTTAAGTTCCATTGAGAAAAGTGTAAGAGAAAAGTGGTGTCACATCTACTAGTGAGTTAAACCTCACAGCCTTCCCTCAGAGAGACACTTCCCAGATAAAGTAAGTCCTTTATGCTGTTATTATGCCAAGTGTTCAGACATTTCTTGGACCTCAGTGGTCGTGGGATTGTGTCAGGAGCTAAAGTGACACTGAAGGAGGTATTGTAGTGAGCAGTATCAACTAGACCATAGCCTGAGGCAGAATGGCTGAGATCAAGATGGACAAACCCTGTTGTCCTCAGAAGCAGTGATATTAAGCCCAATAGTAAATGTCGCTCAGGCATTCAAAAGGAGGAATTTTTGGAAACTTGATTTTTCATAAAAAAAAACAAAGAAGACCTCCAGGTGAAATTAGTCCTGACTCAGTGAGAACCAAATGGGGATTCAGGAAAATTTAGGGTATTATTTTAATTCTTGAATTTCCAGTGGCTCCATAAACAATTTATTAGGAACTCGACACATAATTGTTGAGGTTTCCCAGGAAAGAGACGCTGGGACAGAGATATCTGTGCAGGAGGTTTCTGGCAGCATGACGTTATAATCAGTAAAAAGACCAGAAGAAGTGGTGCCTTAAAAAGAGAGCAGTTGAACTTTATTGTGGTTGTAATGGAAGCCTCATCTGAATCCAGTAGGAATTCTGGAGCCTTTCAGCCTTTCAGTTTGGCCTGCGTTGGATGAGGGATTGGATCATTGGACCAGTAATTAGATGAAGGCTGCGAGGGTGGAGGTGGGTGGTATGTTAACTCAGCTCTGAATCACCAGCGGCCAACAATATAACCTGTGGCTGAAGGAACGAATGCCTTGGTCTAGCCAGCACTTCCTAGCATCATGAACCGTAATAAGGTGTGCAGATCTAGATTATTCAGAAATTCGAGTGTTCACTGGTCATAAAATCAAAAGAGCTTTAAGATGAGTTGGTTTCTCTCCTTGGGATATAGCAAAATTTTAGCGGTCTCCGCAGTGGGGTAAGCAGTCTCCAGAGAGTGTACAGGATACGCCACTGGGGGGCAGGAAGGAAAAATAAAACTTCAGTGTATATTTATTCTGCCTCATTATGTTAATTTATTTGGTCGTAGGAAGGCGGGTAACATATGTAAGAGGGCAATGGCACATGGCTATAGTGTAGAAGTATGTAGATATATATGTCAAGTAGGTGTGCATTCAATACATAACATGATGAAAACCTGTTATAAGTAAAAGGGACGGAGCTGCTATATAGGAAAGAGTATACAGACATAAGTAACCATATTCTCGAGGAAATAAGTAGATATTCAAAATATAAAGGTTTATAAAAACTCTTAGGAAACCGGTTCACGGATATGTTGTCCATTCAGCCTAACATCACCATATTCTTGTTTCATAGGTTTAAAGCCATATCCTTTTCAAGATGGCAGAGGGAAATAATCCCACTTTTTTTTATCTCCTGTGTTAAATTGAGTCCCATTCTTTCATCTTTACATTTGTGAACATCTCCAGTTATTCATACTTAAGTTTTGTTCTAGAACTAGAAGAGAATATCATATAAAATGCTCTTTTTGAGGTCTGTCTTTTTAAAGTCTACTAGGATGATGATTGAAATTTAGATTTTTATTGAAGATAGCAGAAAGTCATATTTTGTACAGGTGGCATGAACATATTCGCACTTAATGTCTTAGAACACGTTCTTTCCTAAGGCAGCTCTCCTGGAGATGAAGGAACATTTTTGTTTTCACTAGACTTATGACTATTGATAATATGTGTGTGCCCTGGCAACTATCAAGGGACAGTTATACAGACCTGACAAAGTGTCAGGTCTGAAGAGTTTCAGAACATTGTCTTCTATAAGTGATAACTTCTTAATTTTGGAATAGTGTGAGACAAAGGGAGGAAGTAGAAGTAGGAATATATTTCAAAATCTAATCTATGGATTTAGATCATCATTTATTTCTGTTTGGCTAGAACTCAATCTCTTTGTTATTGCGATGGATATTAAGTGCATTTATTATTATTTTTTTATTTTTTTTAACGTTTATTTACTTTTGAGACAGAGAGAGACAGAGCATGAATGGGGGGAGGGTCAGAGAGAGAGGGAGACACAGAATCCGAAGCAGGCTCCAGGCTCTGAGCTGTCAGCACAGAGCCCGACGCGGGGCTTGAACTCACAGACCGTGAGATCATGACCTGAGCCGAAGTCGGACGCTTAACCGACTGAGCCACCCAGGTGCCCCGATATTAAGTGCATTTAACAGTTAAAATGACATCTCTCATCATATGGATAAGTAAATGTTCCTCTTGTCCTTTTCCTTCTATGTAAGTATGTGGAAATAAACCAGCCATATTTATTAGTAAATTGGCTCCATACAATTAGCCTCCAAACACCTTTCTTTTGGCCTGTCATTGAACTGTACCGCCTTTCCTGCCCTGTAACCTCTATAATTAGAGTCACTAACTAGACAAGTGGGTAGGAATTTTACTTTAAGAAGTGGTACTTTTTAAACGTCTTAATAGCAAGTACAATAACTATAGCTGACAAATGTTATAAAGAAAACAAAACAGGATGAGGTAGGAAAAGGTACTTCAGAAGCATGTGTTTTGGGAGGCCATTAAAAGGAGGATATTTGGGTTGGTGTTAAAGAAGGAAAAGAAAAGAATCAGGAAAATCTGAGGAACTGTGTTTGGCGCAAAAGGAATAGCACATACAAAGGACCTATGGGAGAAATAGGTTTATTGTATTCAAAGAACAAACAGAAGCCCATGTGGCCAGAACAGAGTGAGTGAACGGGTAAGAGATAGAGATTCTGAATTAAGATTTGATAGTTCCAGCAGGGAGTTCAGATTTTATCCTAAGTGGGATGGGAAGCCAAAGACTGTAGGCAGAGGATGATATAATATAATTAATGTTTTATAAGGGTAGTTTTGGCTTCACTTTGGAAATGGACCAAAAGTAGAAGAACAAACATAGAGGAAGAAAGTAACAAAACAAAAGATTGTGGCGATTGGGACTAGAATAGGAAGAATGGCTAATATGAGAAGCAGGGAGATTTAGATAAATAGGAGAAGGAGAGTTACTCAGGATTTGTTGATGGATTGGAAATGGGATTGAGAGGGAGAGAGCAAGGATGAAAACTACGTTGGGTGGGATGATAGTGTGATTAAGTGAAACAAGGAATTCTGAAAGTGGAACAAGTCTGGGGTTTAGTTGTTGGAGTTAATTGGAAATTATGGCTCTGTCACATTTGAAATACATCAGACTCTCAAGGGGAACGTCCAGGATTCAGTGGCAACCACACAGCAAGAGGTGCCCGTTGGGAGCATCAGCGTTAGATAATATGTAAGTCGTGGGACTGCGAGGTGGCCACCTTCTTGTTAGAGAATAAATTCTCAACAAAAACTGTTAGAGGATAATATAAAATAGCAGAATCATATGAGAGATGTATAGTCTGAAAGTCTAGGAAAGGAGAAAGCATTTATTAAATGTATGTGATACCACGTAGATAGAGAGTTGATCTAGGACAGACAAGGTATTTAGTAACATTAACTTTTCTTTTACTGAAGGATGATCAATGTCCATTATAAGAAATTGAAATGGGTTATTTTAGAAAATTTTCAAAATGAGTGGAAAATAAACAACTTATACTTGTAAAACAATAAGCAGGATCAGGAAATAAGCAAGCCTTCTAGGCTCTTGCTAGACTTAATTATACATATAATTAGATCAATACTCTTACATTTTTGGTATAACCGAGTGAGATTCAAGAGTACATTTATTTGGTTTTGTGTCACAAAGTACTCATCTAACAACACGTAACATATTTGTCTCCATAAAATAAAATGCTCTGCAATGTGGTTGCTGGTGCCTGTATAATATTCTATCATATGGAAGGACTATAATTTTATTTA